CAGGTGATGCTCTCTCCCCAGCAGCTTATCACTGCCTGTACAGGTGATGCTCTCTCCCCAGCAGCTTATCACTGCCTGTACAGGTGATGCTCTCTCCCCAGCAGCTTATCACTGCCTGTACGCTCCGCCATTCCAAACCAGCTGGAATTTACCCATTTACCTTTCCTGTCACTGCACTTAGACAAGGCCAGACGAGGATACACAGACAGATTACAACACCTCAGAAACAATGGACATGGACAGTATCCATGTTATAAAATAAGTAAAAAAAATATCATTATAGGCAACTTCCTGTCCATGGACATTAAATATGCCAAAACTCTGTCTAAGAAAAGCACACATGGCATAGGAGTTATAAACTCATGCCTGAAAGGTGTTAATGGCTGTATAATATACAGCCTTGGGTGAAGATATTAAGCACCCTTGAATTTTCCCTATCGCCGTGCAGTTTTGTTCAATGTCGTTCACTCAGTCGACCAGCAGAGGGCAGCACTTAGCAGCACACTGAGCGAACTCAGGCTCCTAAATACAGTCACAAAGCCCCCCCCAGGCAAAGCAGTGGGCCGCAGCCCTTTGTGGCAGCTGGTTTCCCCGTTGGGAATCCGCATGACTGCTGATTGAGCGGGATCCATTCGCAAACGTTTAGGGTGTGATGGGGCTGGTGAAAATGTAATCCTGTGCCCCCCCCCTCCCCCCCGCACCATGCACCCTGACTCTCACCCAGAGAGAACAGGAGATCTTCTGGCTAGCCTGGGGGGCAGGGGGGCTCTGCTGGCAGGGGGGAGGAGACGGGAGCCCGCCGCCCGTGGCCAGAGGCCAAAGTGGCCCCTGCTCCACCTGCATCCCCGATTGCTTCCTCCGCCGGATGATCTGCCGCACAGAGAGAGGCCACCACACAAAATGCATCATGGCACTTGGACCCAGGCCTAGCAGCTTAGAGTGGCGTGGCATGCATGGAGACAAAACGACCAGCAGGGGGCGTGACGGCTGATGCTTCACTGATGAAAGCTTGGCAAGCAAAACAAGTCCAGCAATGCACATGTATAAAACACGAGGGCAGTAATGGCCTGCTAACAAAACGGACACCTGCATAGCTCACTGCATGCAGAGGATCACAGCAGACATGAAGTGATACTGC